AAGCAAGTGTGATCCCATTTTTAGTGTGGTGTGTATGCACACACAAATATGTACACACATGTGTGTGTGTGTGTGTGTGTGTGTGTATATATATATATAAAATAAATTCTCAAACTTGAATATGCAGAACATTCAGCTTTGACAACTTCAAGGGTCCCATCCCAAAAGTTCTACATGGGGGCCCAGCGATCTGCATTTCTAATAAGCACCCCAGATGATTCCAGTAAGGTAAACTAAGAACAGTGCTTTGAGGCACTGATCTAGAAAGATGCATACCAAAAATTTAAGAACGGTTCTCTCTCCATGGTAACATTTCTCATTCATTGGGGGAAGAGAGAAAGTTAAAGGGCAAGAAAGTAGAAAAAGAGTATCTGTATTTTCTAAATTTACTATAAAGCACATGTATGACTTCTGTGTTGTCTCCCCAAAGAGGAATGTAAAATAATGTTCAGAATCAGAGAAACAGAAGGTCTTACCATAAAATCCATAAACTTGTGTTATCTGTCTACTCTCATGATTTCCTCGCAAAAGTGTAATACGATCAGGCCATTTAGCCTTTAGTGCAAGAAGGTAAGTGAAGGTCTCCAAACTATAGTAACCTCTGTCTACAAAATCACCCTGTAAAGTAAAGGATTACAGTTACAAACAATACAATGGCAACAATATATTTTAAAAATTATACCAAAGTGCACAAAAATCAGAGACACAGCCCAAAATAACAAAAATGAAGAGATACATACTGAAATATTTGGAAATTGAGTTTTAACAAAAACTTCCAATGGAAGTAAATAGGCTGTTTTTACTAGTGTTTGTGTTAGTCCACAATTCAGGAGGCCTACACATACCTGCAGTACAATTCTTCAATGATTTTTTCCTGCAAAACCACCATTTTTTCAATTCTCTATTACCCACAGTAACATGTTTTAAAAAGATAATGTGTAAATCAAAAATTTTAAATAAATTTCAAAAATATCTTAACTGAATCAGAAGAGCTACCAACTTGAATAGTTTTGTTGTTTTTTGTAAAAGCAAACACCATGATTATCCTAGTAACAGTGTTCCATGTTCAGCTTTGTATTTAAGAATGGAATGTGATGGCCGAGACCGGTTTGGCTCAGTGGATAGAGCGTCAGCCTGCGGACTGAAAGGTCCCAGGTTCAATTCCGGTCGAGGGCATGTACCTGGGTTGCGGGCACACCCCCAGTAGGAGATGTGCAGGAGGCAGCTGATCGATGTACCTCTCTCATCGATGTTTCTAACTCTCTATCTCTCTCCCTTCCTCTCTGTGAATAATCAATAAAATATATTTAAAAAAAAAAGAATGGAATGTGATGACATGCTATTTACACTTCCCATTAATGTTTTACTTGGGCCAATTTTAGAACAACAAGAAAACAGCTAAAGGAATAATAGGAAAGTGCCTCAGAAACTTATAGAAGAAAGACACAGAAAAAGTAAAACAGTAACATTACATTCTGAAAGTAAGCAAATATGCATCTTCATAGCAAATGTGTCTGTGTGCATATTCATCAATCCATAGATTAATAACATAAATATGAATACTCAAAAAAGTTTGATAAAATAACAATAAATTAAAGATTTATGCCTTAAACCAATGGTTCTAGGATATTTTTCTTCCCAACCATTACTGAGGGCTACAACCCATTCTTATGTATTCAGCAGTTTACTAAAGCGATTATTCTCAACTAAAGGACACAGAAAAATGTAGAAAGGTATAGAATCACCTTTTTAGATATTTAAATAGTCATTATCACATGTAATAAAATTATCATGTAATTTACATGTAATAAGACAGATCTTTTTCCTTTCTAAATAAGTACTGATGTCACTGGTTTTTACATACCATAAATATGTAGTTTGTGTCAGGAACCTGACCTCCAGTTCTGAATAGTTCACAAAGGTCATAAAACTATAAAAGAAAGGCAATATATGTTGATTACAAATTCCTATGAAGGAGTAAAATAATAAAACTGAGAGCAAAATGTGTAAAGAAGCAGTTAATTATGAGAACTTCAAATACTAACAATAAAAAGAAAAAAGTATAAGCGAAGTTGCCAAGCACACAGCTCCCAAGCCTTAAAAAAAGGAAAGCATTAAAATAAATCTCAGTTATCATTAAAGTCATTCCTAGATCATTAATGTTATAGGCCTCCCTCTTAAATTTCTTTCATACATCTATCTCTTCAACTATTACTTGAGAATCTGAAATCATTTACCAGTTACATAACTTGTCAATAAGCTCACCTAACCATCCCATCACATATTCAACATCTATTTCAATGAGATAAAGATAAGGAAAGAAGTGGGTAAAATTTCTTTCAGAGAATAAACTTACACGATACAGTACAGGTCAACCTACCTTCCTACAGTATACTGTTGATGTGGACCCTCAGCCCCCGTAAATGTAGAATGTCTTCTCGATAATTAGTAAAAAGTAACTGCATATTTCACCTAATTCTATTTGACTAAAAATTGGTAAATGGCAAACTACACATTTGATAACTCTAGTCTACTAGATCCCCTAATCTAATTCTTAAAGAAAACCAGTTTTTCTATAATAAACTATACCTACCACAACTAATATTTTCCAACACATTTATTTTTTAAACTTGAAAATAAATCACTAATAAGTATTAAATTTCTAATGGTTAAAACTGTACAGGAATCTTAGTAACAGTGAACAAAACTGACATTTAAATATTAACTACTGAAATAAAGCATTCCCCCCTTGTAACTGTTTCATAAGTCTTAAGCAGCTAATTTTAACCTTGAGGAGGCAGCCAATCAATGATTCTCCCTCATCATTGATGATTCATTCTCTCTCCCCCTTCCTTTCTGAAATCAATAAAAATATATTTTAAAAAAAAGAACTTATAAGCTAGATGAAGTGATACACACACACACACTAGAGGCCCGGTGCATGAAAATTCATGCACTGGAGGGGGTGTCCCTCAACCCGGCCTGCCCCCTCTCACAGTCCGGGGGCCCTCAGGGGTGGGAGCCGACCTGGCAATCAGGGGAAGGCAACGCCCCCATCACACCTCTGTTGCCACTGCCAGCAGCGTAAACCTCGGCCGGCTCTGGTTACCTGAGCCTTGGCGGCCCTGGGTGGCTAGGGGACTGAGGGGACTGGGGGACTTCGGAGGCAGGCGGACTGCAAGGTCCCGGGGGAGAAATAGAAACATCAATGATGACAGAAAAATCATTGATCAGCTGCCTCCTGCATACCCCCTACTGGGGATCGAGCCCGCAACCAGGGCATGTGCCTTTGACTGGAACTGAACCTGGGACCCTTCAGTCCACAGGTCGACACTCTATTCACTGAGACAAACGGGTTAGGGGCTAGGGCTGAAGTGGCTTTTTAAACAGGCTGTACATAGCCCAGTCAGGATTTAAAACCAACTCTCTGACACTGAAGTCCACCATCTACTCACTAGATTACACTGCTTCAATGCTTCTCAGGAGTACAGTTGCCATTCGTATCTGCAGATTCCCAGACTCTTATTGCAGACTCATCCCCATTCAACCAGCAGCATATCAAAAATATTTGGGAACAGGGAACGTTATGTTTCTGTTGACATGTACCATGTATTAGGCCTATAATAATTGTAGGCCTGAACATGTGCAGAATTTTTTTCTTGTCATGATTCCTTAAACAACTATTTACATAGCATTTGCACTGTTTTAGGTATTATAAGTAATCTAGGTTTAAAGTATATGTGGGGATGTGTGTAAGTTATATGCAAATACTATGCCATTTTTGTATAAGGGACTTGAGCATCCAGGATTCTGGTATTTGTGGGAGGTCCTGGAGCCAATCTCCTGAGGATGTCGAGGGACAGCTGAATATGCTTGCCAGCATGTTTGTTTATACTTATAACCCAATCCTGCAATTCCAGAACTGGCCCAAGGGAAAGACAACTTATACTAGTCCCAAAGGACATATCTTACATTTAGTTTACTCAATCAACAGACTGTTACAAGCTCTCCAAGTCCCATGTTTTTGATTAGCAATTGTTTTAAAGGGTCAAGTACAAATGAAATAATGTTCACAGTTTGGTGGTAGTCTTAAATTAACATGGGACTACTGAGCATCCAAATGAGTTCAAATCTCTGCTCTGTCCCTTAATTGCTGTGAGAGTTTGGGCTAATTCTTCAATCTTTTAGTCTCAGTTTCCTTCTCTATAAAATGATCCAATCGTAAAGAACTCTTAAGAAAATTTTACATGGACTATGCGAAAAAGCACTTTGTTAATCTCAAAACACAAGATAAATGTTAGCAAATACTATACATTTGACTGAAGTAATACAGAAGTACAATTTTATGATTTCAATTAATTTTCGTAATCTGAAGTTGTCTCTAAGTTCCTGACATTTGATCATGACTGTAATTCACACATTGAAAAGTTCTTGATAACCCCTCAATTTAATTTTTTTATATATTATTGATTTCAGAGAGGAAGAGATAGAAATATCAATGATGAGAGAAAATCATTTATCCACTGCCTCCTGCATGCCCCACACTGGGGATCAAGCCCGCAACCTGGGCATATGTCCTGACCAAGAATCAAACTGTGACCTCCTGATTCCTAGGTCAACCACTGAGCAACATCAGCTGGGCAACCCCTCAACTTTTTTTTTTTAAGCAAATCAGATCAGTACAGTTTCTTTTATTTTTATTTATTATTTATTTTTTTGTTAATCCTCATCCGAGGATATTTTTCCATTGATTTTTAGAGAGAGTGGAAGGGAGGGGGAAAGACAGAAAGAGAAACATCAATGTGAAAGAGACACATTGATTGGTTGCCTCCTGCACACGCTCCAGACTGGGCCAGGTATGTGCCCTTGACCAGAATCGAACCCGGGACCCTTCAGTTAGTGGGCCAATGCTCTATGCACTGAGCCAAACCGGCTAGGCCAACTTTAATGTTATAAGCAGAGGAAAACGTTGCTTGGTTTATTCCAGCTCTTATGAATGTATTAAGAAACTGCTTATATTCATATCCTTTATGTTATGTAAAATAGAAATGTTTATTATAGTTTTGGAAAGACGTTACATGGAAATTTTAAGAAATTCACTCCTAAAATCTACTAATAGATCACATGTGATATAATGGGGTATCTATTTAGAAGCTGAGAACATGCAGATGTGAGATTTATTATAATCTCAACCTTCAGAGAACTGACTGAAAAGCCAAAAAGAACCCTATAGGTAGTCAAAGTAGGATTTTACTCATTGAGCAGCCGGCCCTTAACCACAATCTATTTACCCACATTTCTGCTCCTTTAAGTAGTCATATGTAAGGCAAAATTGTCAGAAGACAGTAAGTCCTGCTAGCATTCATAAATACTATATTGTTCACATGTATATCTGTCATGTAGCTCAAATTCCATTATATGCATACAGCAAGATATGAGTTTTCAGTTCATCTTTCATTTCCCTATTTTAAAAAAAAACTTTATAAACACACAGGTTTCCAACTAGGCTAAACACTGACATTAAGAATCTAAAGATGACATGTGCCCTTCTTGCCTTGAAACTCTCAAACACAAACAAAAACCCAGAAGATGAAAAAATAAATTTTAGCAGTGATTTGCTATGAAATCAAACGCCAACAATTTTCTTTCGGAACCTTTGCTATTCTCATTCCCACCAAGGAAAGCATCTCCAATTAATCATAATAACTATGAGCAGTCCACATTTGTGTTTTATATCGCCCCCTTTCCACTGAACAATAGTGCTACATTCTATTTACTTTCCAAGCATAATTTCAACAAACTCCATGAATAATTTGACCACTGCTTTTATTCACAGTAAGAGTTAACAGTCATACAGTCTGAAGTAATCTAGCCAACTACCAGCAGTTGTTTTTTATTTGTTTTTATGTGTTTTTTGCAGCATAAATGGAAATACACATGTACTATGGACAGTACAAAGCTAAAAATCTGCTTATGAAATTTTACCTGTCCGTGTATGTCTCCACACACTGTTACTGGTGTTGATACTGGCTGAACATTTGACTCTTCCAAGAGGAGGTCACAAACATAGTCACATAGCCGCTGTAAGGAGAAAAGATAAAATGCAACCTTTTACTACAATATTAAAACTAAGGATCACATGACAAAAAAACAAGAACTAATACTTAAATTGTTTGATAGGAAGCTGTTCTTTGATGATTCTGGGATTGTATATTTCCCAAAGTTTACAACCTACTACTTGCATTTTTTCAAACTCTAACTCACTTCCATGTAGCTTAAGGTTAGTTCCAAAGAACAAATATGCCATGTTTGGCCTGTGTTGTTTTTAATAGTCTTTCATTACCACTTTCTTTCTCATCTTGCCAGAATAAAGAGCACTACTCTTTTCAGGTTAGTTTCACAGAGTAGCAATTAATATTTAAAACAATTTTTTCTGCTACTGTACAATTTCAAAAATAAAACAATATAGTGATGTTTTAAAGTACCTATTTCAGGAGCTTTCCCACCTTTTTTGATTTAATATATTTTTATTTATTTCAGAGAGGAAGGGAGACGGAGAGATAGAAATATCAATGATGAGAGAATCATTGATTGGCTCCCTCCTGCATGCCACCAACTGGGGATCATGCCCACAACCTAGGCATGTGTCCTTGACTGGAATCGAACCCAGGACCCTCAAATCCACAGGTGGATGCTCTATCCACTGAGCCAAACCAGGTAGGGCTTACCCACCTTTCTTAGGTATAAATACTTGGAATATTTTTTCACGTACACTCACCAAACCTCCTCAAAGAGAATCCCACCAAAAGTATTTGTAGAGCCCTAGTCTAGGCTCACTGGATAGAGCATTGGCCTGAGGACTAAAGGGTCCTGGGTTCGATTCCAGTCAAGGGCATATGCCCAGGTTGTGCGCTAGATCCCCAGTGGGGGGCATGCAGGAGACAGCCGATCAATGATTCTCTCACCATTGATGTTTCTCTCTCTCTCTCTCCCTCTCCCTTCCTCTCTGAAAGCAGAAAAATCTATTTTAAAAAAAGTATTTGTAGAAGTGCTTTGCTGTCATTTGTACAAGAGTGGACAGTTTTCAGGCACTTGTCCTATCCACACTCTCTTTCAAATTTCACATCATTTACAAAGAGTCCTAACTTCCATTAATGAAGGTGAGAGCTCATACCATGAATACAATTTATTTTTTAATTTTGTTTTATTTCTTAAAGTATTACAAAGAGATTACATATGTCTCCTTCCCCCACCCCCGACACGAGTCAGAAGCTCCTCTCACTGTCTCTCCTGCTACTCCCTTGCGTATCATCGATGCTGGAAGTTTCTGAGAGCAGTCTGCAGGTGCTAGACATCATTCCTGAACTGGTCAACAAGAAGTTTGGCATTCTGTCTTTTATTGGGTGGCTCCTTGCTGGACAAAATCTCCAGGCGTTCTTGGTGGCTGAATATCTGGTATGCTTGCTTGGTTTCGTTTTCTACTAAGTGCACAGACTGCTTGTCTGCCGTCGCTGAGCGTCCCATGTGAGGCTGGATCTGGTAGACCTGCTTGAGCGTTTGCTGGTACAGCGGTTCCCATCGCCGGCCTAGCTGTGTCCGGCTCCGGCTTCCTCCGAACCTGATTCTGCTTGAATGTGTCCCTTATTTATGCGAGGAGTTGAAATCTACAGTTTGTTGGGTTAGGCTGCAAAAGCGCAGGTGGTTCCTTTTGTGCCACTGGCACAGCTTGGGCGGGGATGTAAATTGAGTAGGGCGGGGTCTCCAGGAATCACCAGGGCGGAGCAAAGAGCAATGGCGACTCCACGACTCCACGACTCCACGTCTCCACGTCCCCGAGTGCCGGCAAGCAGCTCCACGAGAAAGCCTCCCTCGCTCTCCCACCCGCTGCAAGGCAGTCCCGCCTCTCCCCGTAGAGGTCTGGGACCTCAGAATCCCGCCCCAAACAAACTCAGTGGATTCGAGAGTTTGTAACCCCTTCCGATTGAAAAAAACCGCGCGTGCAGTTGCAGTCCACCTGGCACGAGACTCTGTACCTCTGTTCTTGGCGCCTCTGTACATCCTACTCAGTCTCAATGCTCTTCCTTCTTTCCTTCCAGTTGTAAAGCTTCCACTGGGCCAGCTTTCCCATGGTTCTGAATGATAGCTGTTTGTCTTATAGATGGTAGTTTCAATGTTGTTGTGGGAGGCAGCACGCACAGGTCTGTACCTTATGCAGCCATCTTGGTTCTCCCATGAATACAATTTAAATGTTTCTCCCAACACATCCTCTGACACAAGCCGCCAAAGCAGCTCATCTCCCACTCTTCTTTCCAGAATGCATCTCTGGGAAAGAAAAGTTCTCTGTTTCCTGCAATGTAGACCTTTCTATTTGCTTACTCTCAGGTACTGTTGGTTACTTGTAAATTTGAGGTCCCCACTGTTCATACCCCTTTAAAAATCAATTATTAAAATGTTACCCAAATAAACCCATTATAAATTCCACCCTGAATTAAGTCAGATTGTCCTCTAAAGAGGCCTGTCCTCACCCTGCATTTACTGCCCTCCTTCCCAAACTGCACTTTAGTCATGCCCTCAACCTGTAGTAAGGGACATTGTAGAAACAGTCCTCTATAGAGCTTGTCACTGTGCAGACTATAAATAAGGTACACAGGATGCTGTGATTAAACAGTTGCCTTCAAGGAGGACCCAGGGAAGGAATGTCCCTATCAAGGATAAATGTGACTACCCGAGAAGCTTGTTTTTATCATCTTATAGACTCTGAATTTTTAAAAACATATTTTATTGATTTTTACAGAGAGGAAGGGAGAGGGATAGTTAGAAACATCGATGAGAAACATTGATCAGCTGCCTCCTGCACACCCCCAACTGGGGATGTGCCCGCAACCAAGGTACATGCCCTTGACCGGAATCGAACCTGGGACTCTTCAGTCTAGGGGCCGATGCTCTATCCACTGAGCCAAACCAGTTAGGGCAGACTCTGAATTTTTTAACTGATCAGTTCTTACTTTTCATTCGCTCCCAGAAAACTTAGGGCCTAACTAAACTCAAAGAAGTAACCTGATCATCACAGCTTTTATTTTATATAATAGAGGCCCGGTGCAAAAAAATTTGTGCACTCGGGGGGTAGGGGGGTCCCTCAGCCCGGTCTGTGCCCTCTCGCAGTCTGGGACCCCTCGGGAGATAATGCCCTGCTGGCTTATGCATGCT